ATACTTGGAAGCAGAGATCAAGTAACGGCTAATGGGCTTTAACCCAGCTCCAAACTGGTAAAGGGAAGAAGATCAAGATAAGGAAGGCCAGACAATCAGGAGGTGAAGAACAATTTCTATGGCAGATCAGGGTAACCAGGAAACTATTCACTATTCATTCACTATTGCTACTGGCTGAGACTAAAGGAGACTTGTGTCAGGAAGAACATTCAGTATATTGGACTGTGACTTTACAAAAACTAAGTGGACCAAGTAATGAACAAAACTCCTGAAAGCCATAGGGATAAAACATAAGCTTGCTTAATATGCCCACCAATAAATGACATTTTCCTGAATTTCTCTGGAATTGTTCCCTTGAATTTAATGTTGTTAATCTCTATTGAATGCTTCTGAAGACCAAAACCTCATAATCAAAAGAGAAGGCAGTAGCCTATATCCATTTTTAGATATACTTGGGTTTCTTGTGCTTTTAAATAGTATTTATCATCAACTTTTGATAAGCATTTGCTAAGTAACTTGTAATCACATAACCTTCTGTAAGAAAAAAATAAAATTTGAAACTTGTAAAACAGATTAGAAAGTGATTATTCTAAATTTATTTCCTTTACAAAAGTCTTCACAGCAGGATTTCTCTAATGGTCATCCCTAGGGCATTTGAAATTAATTCAACTAATATTTATCTTACACACCATTTTGAGTATCATCTATGGAATTTCAAACTGTCCCCAAAATCTGTTCCTATCAATCACTTCATCAAGTGGAATTATGAACACTTGTATTCTAAGGTGAGCTTTAATAAAATGCTTCCATTATTAATTCTGTATTTCTAACTCATCATTATCTTACAGTTCTTTGTCAAAAGATTCATCCAAAGCATTTTCCAAAATATGCTCTGTTATAATAAAGAGTGTACTTACTTTATAGCAAGAAAACAAAATTTTTTAAAATATGTGCTAGAAGCCAGAAACTTTCACTTGGTATTGTCAGTTTTCTAATTTAAGCTACTCTATTCTCCATGAAATAATATCTCAGAGTGCGTGTGTGTGTGTGTATGTGTTTTAAATTGCTTTTTATTAGGTACAATTTCATACAATAAAATTCATTTATTTCAAATGGACAATTATTTTTTAATTATTATATATAGAACACACAACAAAGTATAGAGCATATCCATTTCCCTTAAGTTTCCTCATATCCTTTGATCCCATATCCTGACACCAGCCTCTAAGAAATCACTAATCTTCTTTCACTATAGTTTTGCCTCTTTATGGGTTTTAATTTGCATTTCCCTGATAACCAATGACCTCTAGTATATTTTCATATGCATTCTGACCATTGCCTATATCTTCTTTTTTTTTTTGAGATAGAGTCTCACTGTGTTGCCCGGGCTAGAGTGCCGTGGCGTCATCCTAGCTCACAGCAACCTCAAACTCCTGGGCTCAAGTGATCCTCCTGCCTCAGCCTCCCAAGTAGCTGGGACTACAGGCATGCGCCACCATGCCCGGCTAATTTTTTCTATATATTTTTAGTTGTCCGATTAATTTCTTTCTAATTTTAGTAGAGACGGGGTCTTGCTCTTGCTCAGGCTGGTTTCGAACTCCTGAGCTCAAACAATCTGCCCGCCTCGGCCTCCCAGAGAGCTAGGATTACAGGCGTGAGCCACCACGCCCAGCTCTATATCTTCTTTAGTGAAGCATCTATTCAAGTCTTTTACCAGATTTTTATTGGATTGTGTTCTCATTACAAATTTTAAGAGTTTCTTATATATCCTTATGTATAAATCCTTTGTCTGATTAATGCATCGCAAATATTTCCTTTCAGTCAGCAGTTTGTATGCAATGTATTGCTTTTTTCAGGTTGCTTTCAAGATTTTCTCTTCATCATGGTTTTCAGCAGTTTGACAATGATCTTTCCAGGTGTAGTTTTATTTGGATTTACCTTACTTCGGATTTGCAGACATTCTAAGTCAATATTTCTTCATAAAAGTTGGAAAAGTTTTGGCCATTTTATTCCTGCCCTATTTTCATCCTTTTATTCTCTGGATCTCCAATTATATATGTTGTTAGTTCTTTTGATATTTTTCCACAGGACCCTGAGGCTCTGGTTTTTCTTCCATCTTTCTTTTTTTAGATTGTGTATTTTATTTTTTTTCACTCTAATGAAAATCATAAAGATTATATAAATTGATCTATCTTCAGGTTCACTGATACTTCTTCTGACATCTACAATCTGCTATTAATGTTATCCAGTGGATTTTTCATTTCAGTTATTTTATCTTTTTGTCATAACATTTTTTTCTTTTTACTTTCCATTTCTCTTTCCTTATTACTTCACTCATTAAGATGACAGTTCCTTTATATCCTTGAACATGTGCATAATAGCTGCTTTAAAGATTTTGCAAAATTCAACATTTGGGCCACGTCAAGGTTTGTTTTCCTTGACTGATTTTTTGCTTTACCATAGGGACTCATTTTTCTGTTTCTTTCCATATCTAGTAACTTTTGACTACATACCACACATTATAAATATGTTGTAGAGAATCTGCATCATATTTTCCTCTAAAAGTGCTGATTTTTATTCCAGTAGGCATTTTGATTATTAGCTGGTTACTTTCAAATTATGTAGGCTTGGTTTTATGCTTTGTTAGTGTGGATCTGTGGAAAGCCCAAAGCGTTCTCAAGTCCTTTTAATTTGGCAGGGCTCACCGTCCAAATGCTGTCTCCCTTGAGATCTTGATTTTAGATCTATATTAGATCTTGATTTTAATCTATATTAAAGAGTCAAGGCTTGATTTTAATCCATATTCTGGAATGTGGATGCTTATTTACAGTACAAGAACTGACACAAGAAGGCAAAGTGTTGCCTTATTCAACCTCAGCTAGGAATGTGCATGTTGGGCAACTCAAATTTTTTTAGCACTTTGCACATATCCCCACAAATGACAACAAAAGTGCTGTATTAATTTGGGGGTTACAAATAAATTTTAGCAAGTAAGCAAATTTGCAAATATGGAATCCACGAATATGAGAATCAACATTTTTTTCTAGATAGCATAATGAAAACATTTTAATGTTTTAAAAGAGTTAAGTGTATACAAATCCGATAAAGGGCTGATAAACAGAATCTACTTAGAACTCGGGAAAATCAACAAGAAAAAATCAAATGACCCTATCAAAAAGTGGGCAAGGGACATGAACAGAAACTTTTCAAAAGAAGACAGAATAATGGTCAAAAAGCATATGAAAAAATGTTCAACATCTCTAATCATCAGAGAAATGCAAATTAAAACCACAATGAGATATCACTTATCTCCAGTGAGACTGGCCTTTATCAAAAAGTCCCAAAACAATAAATGTTGGCGTGGATGCGGAGAGATAGGAACACTCATGCACTGTTGGTGGGATTGCAAACTAGTGCAACCTCTGTGGAAAGCAATATGGAGATATCTTAAAGAGATACAAGTAGAAGTACCATTCGATCCAGCAATCCCATTACTGGGCATCTACCCAAAAGACCAAATGATACTGTATGAGAAAGACACCTGCACCCGAATGTTTATAGCAGCACAATTCACAATTGCAAAGATGTGGAAACAACCCAAGTGTCCATCAATACATGAGTGGATTAATCAAATGTGGTATATGTATACCATGGAGTACTATTCAGCTTTAAGAAACAATGGTGATATAGCACCTCTTGTATACTCCTGGATGGAGCTGGAATGCATTCTACTAAGTGAGGTATCCCAAGAATGGAAAGACAAGCACCACATGTACTCACCATCAAATTGGTATTAACTGATCAACACATAAATGCACATATAAGAATAACATCCATTGGATGTTGGGCGGGGGGGGGGATGGGTATTTGCATACACAGAGTGCAATGCGCACCACTGAGGGATGGACATATTTGAGACTTGGACTGGGGGTGGGGGGGCAAGGGCAACATACGTAACCTAAACATCTGTACCCCCATAATATGCTGAAATAAAAAAAAAAAAAAAAAAGTTAAGTGTAATGTAACTATTTTAATGGAAATTTTCCCTAACTATAACGTGTCTCCTAAACAAGAACCAAGGATAACTTTTCTTACTAACTCAGGGTCATTATTATAATAATAAAGGAAACAATGCTAAAATCCAATGAAATCTTTAAGGTTCTTAGATTTAAAATGCCTAGTTGGCAACAATTCCTGAGGTTTCTGCTTTGTGTTTTTTGCCTCTTATTGATGTTTTTAAAAAAACCAATACCTTAATGTACCTTAGTAGTATGATCTTGCAGAAGTAAACTTTGTGGGTCTTGGTTTTCTCATCTATAAAATGAAGAAATGTATTTCTAAGGTCCCTCCAGGTCTAAATAATATTTATTTTCTAGCTGTCACTGTTTTGGCTTCTAGATGCTACCCCTCTTCCTTTCTAATTTTCTAATCTTCCATGTCCTGAAAACAATCTGAAAGCCAACTCTATTAGATCATTAAAAAATAAAAGACATTCTAACTAAAGACTTGAGATCTTTTCTAAATAATGTGCATATATATTTTGGCAAATAGAAGACCTATATACACTTACTCCCTAAATCCTAGCTATAATCCAAATAGATATGTAAAATCAGTTATACGTCCTAACAGATAAAGTAAAAAACTACTCATAAGACATAGTTAAGTAAAAGGAAACCAAATACCTGACCTGTCACATCATGTATAGAAAAATAATAATAACAGCATCTTTCTTAGAATCTTCACTGATGCATTACCTGAGATAATAGAGAAACACACACATTTTGAAAAGAAGCTATTATTAAAAAGCCTTATAAAAATATATAAGCAAATTGATTGTTGACTTATTTATTGAATTAAAATTATACTATATATAAAATAACAATCTATATGCAGAGGGATTTAAAGTGTCACAATATATACAATTATCTTTACAAAGTCAGGATGCAAGTTACAATGATTCTGACTATAAAATTTATATTAAAACGTTTTCCATAAGTGATTTATTTTGCTGTTTTTGTTCGAAGTCGTCGTTTGAGAATCTGGTGATCACTCTCCTTCAGTTTTGGGTCCATTAGAATCTGAAATTAACAATTTCACAGTTTTTCAAAAATTAAGTGAAAATAAAATGAAAGTTTGTTTATAATGAATAAGACATGTTCATGTGCTTAATAATTGAAATAATAGATACATTAGAGCAATTTTTATGCTCAGATTACAGGCATACCATCTTCTATAAAAATTCATGCCTAAGGCCAGGCGCGGTGGCTCACTTCTGTAATCCTAGCACTCTGGGAGGCCGAGGCGGGTGGATCGCTCAAGGTCAAGAGTTCGAGACCAGCCTGACCAAGAGCGAGACCCTGTCTCTACTAAAAAATAGAAAGAAATGATCTGGACAACTAAAAATATATATATAGAAAAAATTAGCCGGGCATGGTGGCACATGCCTGCAGTTCCAGCTACTCGGGAGACTGAGGCAGTAGGATCGCCTGAGCCCAGGAGTTTGAGGTTGCTGTGAGCTAGGCTGACGCCACAGCACTCACTCTAGCCCGGGCAACAGAGTGAGACTCTGTCTCAAAAAAAAAAAAAAAAAATTCATGCCTAAAAAACAATAGATTTTATAAAAGATTCTTTCAACACTACCTAACTCTATCTAGAATTAAAATAACCTACACTCTGTATTGAATTCAGGGCATATATAGCTTAAAATAATTATTTAAATATTTGAAGACAAGTACCTCAAATAATGTTTAAGAAATGATCTTTCATGGCAACAAGTGTGTAACTTAGAAAGTAGAAAGCACTTTATACTACAACACAGAAAAGAAATGATTTTCAGCCAAGGGAGGAAACTATGCACTAATCAGACAGACGGTGAAAAGTGACTGACAGAATAGTACTTACTATTAGCATGCCCTAATTGACCCTAATTCTTTACCACTTGCCTTCAAGTGCCAATCTCGTATCTAATAGCTACTGTTGCAAAAAAGGTTTCTCCTGATTTTTCTTTGCCACTTGCTTTTGAAGCTTTTTCCTTTAATTATTTTTCTACCTTCACTTTCATCTACTAAGCAAATGCGAGCATGATAGAAAATTAGAACTTTCCCTGTAACAGTACAGACTGTTCTGAGTGAGAAGAATGAGTCATGGAGTCAGGGTGACAACTATAGTCTTTTCTTAATAGAAACTGGAAGGCTTAGAGGAAAGATGAAAGGAAATGGCTGAATGTCAAGCCTATATTTTTACCACACACACTTGGGCCCAGATTTGCACAACTCTTGTGAAGATAACAACAAAAAATAAATGTTAGAGGCAAATAAGTTACTAAATAGTGATAATTCTGTTGATGGAAATAAATTCCTCTGATGAGTTTTCAGATGCAAATGCATGACACTAGTATACATTAATAATTGTATAACTATTGAGTTACATTTAATTAGTATACATTAACACACTGAGATAAAAATTTAACACTGAAACTAAAACTATGGCCTTTAAAGCATGTATTTTAAGAGAGCTGATCTAAAGAACAGAAATTCAAACCATTGTAAAAAATTACAAAGATCATGAACTTTCTTCTGGGAAGAGTCTTCTTAACTAAATAAATAAATAACAATAAAAGAACATGAATAGTTTTACATTGATGAAAACTGAAATACTAGCTTACCACTTGGCCTGATATATCAATAGGAGATGAAATTTCATTTGTGTATAATTTCCGTTTGGCTCGTTTTGGTTGAGACACATTTTCTTTACTTGCTTCTACATTTGAGAGCTTTGAAGAGCTCATTGTTTCAAGTATTTTCTTTGCTGGAAATAAAAATGTTAATTAGTTCCTAAAACAAATAATTTTCTATTAATAACTTCAAAAGTTTGAAATCCTTAATAAAAAAAGAACATATATACAAATGAAAAATACTGCAATATATAAATGGTGAAAGAACATGCATAGAAAATTCACAAAGAAAAAGATAAATGACAAAGAAACACATGAAATAATAATGCAAAAAAAAAAGCAAAAAAGCTAAATATTTAACTAATGTTCAACATAGTAAAAAGATTTTGGTAAATAATACTACATCAGTAAAATTCTGGCCTCTTTAATGATTTGGAAGAGATTTATGTTATGTTAAGCAAAAGAGCAGGATACATATATAGTGGATCACGTAACATTAAAAATAAGGTGGTAGATTATCTAGTTCAGTGCTCAGGAATAAAGGTGTCCACTGAATATTAAGTGAAAATATTTTGTAATTATAAACCCTTTACTTTTATAGTTCACACACACATACACGCTAAAGGACAGAAAGCGAACTGTTAACAGTTAATTGCTTCTGGGAAGTAAAATAGGAATTTTTAAATTCCTTATTCTGTACAGTTGCTTTCTTTTTTTAATAGACAGATATTGATTTTAATAGAAAACATACCTCCATCTGGAAAAATTCCTAAATAGAAACTCCATATACATATGATATCAACTATATTTTTTAAAAAATTTTCTAAAAGTTTAAGGAAATATACTAAATTGAGAGTCTACTTGTCAAGGGCTGGGCTGAGCTTGAGAGAGCTGAGTTTCCAGACATCAGAGTAGACAATCAGGACAACAAGCCAAAATGAAAGTAACACCACAGCTTCTTAACCATTTGTTGCACTAGTATAAGCAAGAGGCTAAACCTGAGAAAGCACCAGCTCCTCCCATCCTCTTCTATATTCCCCCATGGAATGGTATACAGCCTAGGGTCAGGTGGATCAGCACAAAAGGGGGGGTCATCTTACTGCCCAAGCAGTTTTATGGATCTCAGGGCTGGAGGCCGGTGGAGGTGGGGGAAAGCTATAAGTAGAAAAGTACTGAGTCACAGCGGAGAAAAGTGTCTTCAAAGTTCCTTCCCCTTCCCCTCCCTAAGAAGATCCTGGGCAGAGATGTCTGAGGAAGGCCTCTGTGGAAGGCCCCAGTATAGAAGCTCTGAAGGCAGGCACCCAGGCTAAACCTGCAGATAAGGCAAAGAGCACAGCTGGCCTGGGGACCTGAGCCCTTGATTGTCACTCTTGTAAGAGGCTATAATTTCATCCGCCATACACCAAATCTGGTGTAGAAAGGGAAGCTTTCCCTCATGAAGCCTATCAGGTAAGTCTTGTAAGTGAAGCTGGGAATGAGGGTTAGTAATAGGGTGATGAAGGAAGTTGTCTCCCTGATAGCAGAGATGGGGAAAGCCAGGATGTGTTCCATAGAAAAGAAAACACAAGAAAGAGCAAAGAAAGCAATGATATCAAAGCAAAAAAGAAGCCCACATATTCTGGAACTGTCGGAAGCTAGAATTGAAGCTCGCTAGTTATCAAACCATAAAATAACAGGAGAGAAGATGGAGAGAGAAAGTGTCAGAAATCAAGTCATTTAGGGGAATGGGAAATCATTAAAGGATTTAAAACAGAGGAGTAACAAAATCCAATTTGTACTTAGAAAAGATGGCTCCGGCTGTCCTGTGCTGAATGGATAGGAGATGGGCAAGAGGGGAAAGCTGGGAGACCAGTGAAGTTGAGTGATGGCCTAACAGTGCTTATCAGAGCAACAGAATTTTAAGGAAGAACTAAATCTCTTTTTCTTTTGTCTCTATATTTCCAAGTGACCCACAACAACATATATGTATTGTACCTACAATCCAAAATAGGGATTTATATTCCTTTTAAAAGAAATCCATGTCAGGTATATTGGTAGGGAAGCTGTTAAAGAACTGAGTCAATCAAGTCAGGGAGACATTGCCCTTACTTGATTACTTATTTAAATTATAGATACCGCCCTTTCCTTGAAAACATGTTTCTTTTTAAGTGACAGTCAGTATCATTTAAATAAAATACACAAAAATCTAAAACAAGAAGTCCTTCCTCTCCAAATTTAGACATTTAACAGTATGCTGTTTGTCCCTCTAGATATTTTCTATATATCTATCAATTTTTATATGTATCTATATATTTTCTATACCTATAAAACTACAGATTTAAAACAATATATTTTTTCAAAAAATACACAAATGGGTCTGATAGTTCTGAAGTTCCCAAACTGCACTAAGGCATGCTGCAGCAAACTCATAGGAGCACCTCAGGCTATTTCAAATCTTCAGGGCAAACAGTGATAATCGATAGCCCAAGGATCACAGTTTGAAAATGATATTGAATGACATTCCTTTTGATGATGACATTATCTTTGCAACCAGGATTTTCAGAAGCTGAATTTTCAGTAATTGTTTGGCCTTAAGTTCTGATAGATGAGACTATTAGGTGATTCTTTGGATGTATGGGCATAATGAAAATTAATTACTGAAACATTAAGGACACTGTGAACCAAGAAAGTTTGGGGACCTCTCTGATAAGTTTTCACGGAAAGTATTTTCACGTAACCTATTTGACTCAGTTCAATTGCCCTCTGCTTCTAGTCCCTTTTCCTCCCCATTCTTCCTACCTCTGGTGTCTAATTCATGCTATTGCAGCCACTCAGGTAATCTCACAAAACCCACTCTTCCATCCTCCCTCCTCTACGCCTGCCAAGTAGTCCTTCCACATTCTATATGCCAGATGCATATTGCTAGTTGGAATTGCATGAACATTCCCTACACTTTTTGGGTACTCTATCAGTGTTAAAATCATTCCCTCTGGTAGATGGATACATATACACACACATATGTGTGTATGTAGTATATATATTAATATAGATACAAGTATTAACATGTCCACATTATATTATAAATAAAAAGCACTGAGCATACTGTTTTTGCAACTAAACCCAATAGGTATGTATAGAAACATATGTTTTTGACATATATAAATACGTAATACTTATATATGCATGGGGGAAAAACAATAGAAGGATATATATCATAACACTAACAGTAATTCCCTCTAGAGGATGTAACCCAACCAGAATTTTAATATCCAGGGTAAATCCCATCGCCTCCACAAAATCTTCCCAAAGCTCCCTAATCAGAAGAGGTCTCTTCCCTTCAATACTATCACACCACTTTGCTTGAACCTCTATTACTATATTAAGCAGCCTGCTCTGGATCAATTACTTAAATACAAGCCTTCCTCCTCAATACATAGTGAATACCTAGGCACATCATCCTTTCATCTGTTTCTTTCCACAGTACCTAGCATAGGAAAATGCCTGTTTGAAGTATAATACTCACTGAACATTTGTTGAGTTTATATACCAATTAGGTCTCAGAAAACCCCCTGTATCTTAGAAAAGGTCATTTAATTAATTTTCTGCAAACCTTTTGATTGAAGAATTGTTGGAGAACGTTGGATGAAGTCTCCAAATTTCTGCAGAGTTCCTTCTTTCTTCTTAGTGGCCAAGTTTACATCAATTGTGGATGCCTGACTCCGTAAAGAATATGTTTTCTTAGATGATGCATGTGTAGAAACCTAATAAACAAACATTTTTTGTTATTGTTGATGAGGAATGTTAGAAGGAAATAGTTATGGCCACAGTTGAATTAAAGAGGCCAGAGACAGATTACGAATTCTCCAGGTAGGGAACTTGGAATTAAGTATAAAAGGGCCAGAGAACAGCAAAATGAGTTTGATAGGCAGTGTGTTAAAGTCAGAAATAGAAACATGAAGAAGTGCCTGCTACTGGCCAAATATTAAAAGTGATATTCCAAGTTGAATTAGTTGTACAGGAAACAGAAGATAAATGAATTACAATTGGACACAAGTGGATTTCTGGATAATTGTTACAATTTTGGACAAATTAAAAAATAAACCTTTTGTTCCTTTTTGACAGAAGAATTTCTATGCTCCAAAACAGGGAACTTCAAATTAGTTCTGGGTGTAGCATTCTTCTTATTTTCACATTTCACCACGTCCTAAAAATAAAGAATTTCAGCACCAGTTAATTTCCTAGCAAAATTGTCTTTCTCTAAACTCAAAAAAGATAATCTGTGAAAAGTTATATTATCACTTAAGACAGTGGTTCTTAACTGGGGGCAATTTTGACCTTAGGGGACAGTGGTAATATTTGGAGATATTTTTGATTGTCTTTGCCAGGGAGAAGGGGGATGTTATTGGTTATGAATGCGTAGAGGCTAGTAATGCTGCTAAACACCTCTACAATATACAGGATAGCCCCCACAACAAAGATGTATCTAGCCCAAAATGTCAATTGTGCTGCGGTTAAGAAACCCTAACTGAAGGTGTGACTTTTTCACACACATCATAAATAATGCAATTACATAAGCTAAGTGAAAAACATAGAAAGGGTAACACCTTTCATTTGAACTTCATCTTTAAAATACAGCATAGCAATACAGCATCTTTAATATATAGCACAGCAACATATCCTGCCCCTAACTCCCAAATAATGTTAATACAAGCATCTACGTCTCACTGAAATTTGGTAACATCAAAAACAAAATAAAACAAAAAACAAAACTTCACATAAGCACAAATAAAATATGAAAATTAAGAAATTTATAATCTTTCTTCTCTACTAAACAGGCATGGCATCCTTACTCTTCTGTTTCCCACATAACCTCACATAGGACAAAGCCTTCTATAGATATATCACTGAATTGAACTACTGCAAATCCTAGTTGTACCAAAGATCATAAGCTTAAAAAAGGGAAAAAGGCAAGAAGAGAAGAGAGAAAAGATCATGACTAAACCTCAAAATACAAGTTACCAAGTAGAAGACATAAGGGTCATAAGATGCAGACTCCACAAAAGGGGACAGATAGTTATCATGGGAAGCAAATGAAGAAAGAATGCTAGCCACCACACTCAGAGTGTTCAGTAAAGAGCCCCTTGTAGTGTTAACTGGATTAGAATATAGCATTGTATAAATGATTTTCATGAGGACCCATGTACTGTTTATTACAGCAGTGAAGATCTAGCAAAATCAGTTCAAAATTTTGAATTTCTACATGTTATATCTACAACAATCTGTAAATCTTTTCTGAAATACACATGAAGAAGGGCATATACCAACAGTAAAATGAATATGATATTTGCATTTATCAAATATGGAGTGATTACTACACTCAATTTTTCCTTTTCCTTTGAAAAAACAGATGAAGAAAAAGTCAATATAGGTGATAAAACTCAACTATTTAGTGTTTTAATGGTATTTAAAATGTATTTAAAAAATTAAATAAATACCGAACTGAAGTTAATAAGACTCTACAAAACAATTTCTTAAGGTGTATGTGTAGCAGGAAAACTATGCTAAATAATATTCACTCAGCAAATTTATTACCTGACAGAGAGCCTCAGGAGTATGGTTAATACTATTTCTGCTCTTCCATCAGCTTAAAAATATACTACTCTTTAAAGGAGTAAAAGAAAGTTGGAGAAAAAGTTATTTTGCTAGAGATTGTATAAATAGTTTTAAACTTAAAACAAGTTACTTTAAAAATAAATATCATCATTTATTATGTATCTACCATATGCAGAGCAAAGGCTAAGCATTTTAAACACAATAATCCATTATTTCAAAAAGAAGAAAACAGGATCAGAAAGCTTATGTGACTTGCCAAATCTGCATGGCTAGGATACAGTAGAAGTTTTGGCAGCTCTACAATCAAGAAGCTGCAGTAAGAAGAAGTAAGTATAATAGCCTACCACTACGTAGAGGCCCAAATTTTAATACTGGCTGACAGAAAAAGAATTTCTCTTCCAAAATTTGCTATGACCAAAGAGACTAAAGATTTTAGTTAAATGACAAAGATTGTACTCAAGCAAGTTAGCCATTTTAGTTTCTCTAATTTCAGTATCAACCGTTTTTCTCTTCCACTGGAAGGAAAGTGACTACGTGGGAACAGGACTGGTATATTTAACCAGCTCTCTAGTAAAATCCACCATCGTTTGATCTATCACAGTTTAGCTGAAGCAAGGGATAATGTATAAATTTTAATATCCATAGCTTTTTGTCTGAGGACTGTTAAACCACAGTGATATTCTGAAAAGGTATAAAATATACCATAAATTATGATTTTGGTCTCTAAAAGTAGTGCCTACAAAGAGGACAGCAGTGTAGCAGAGCTTACCTATACATTGTAACTGAGCTTAGTAATAAGAAGCTTGCTAAATTTATTCATCAGTTAAGTTTTTACCTCCGCCATTTCATTACTCTTCCTCTTCCGGGCCTTAGAAATCTTAACTGTCACTGGTGTGGTACAACCAGGGTGTTTCACTGCCATTTTATTTGGCCGTAAAGGTGTAAATTGAATCTCTAACTCAGGCTTTGGAAATCGAGTACTTTGATCATTTTCTGTTGACACTTCACAAGAGTCAAGGACTACAGATCCATCCTACAACAGAATTAAAAAGGAAAAAAAATTTACTTGTAGAATATGAATTTATAAACCACAAAGAACTAATTCTGTCAAATGCCTATTTAAGACAATGAATTGGGAAAAATAAAAAGTATGCTGGGCCACAGCAAGGACAGAAAGATTGAGTTATCCTCTACCCTCTTGAGGTTTATACATGGTATGTTAAAATGGAGGGAAACTTAGAGATCAGTATTTCCCAAACTTGTGTGATCACAAGAATTGCCTGAAGAATTTGTTTAAAAGATTCCTGGACCTTACATATACCACAAACCTACTAAATCAGAAATCTCCAAGGCAGAAAGCTAGGATTTTTAATAAGCACTCCAGTTATGGTAGATATAAAGTTGGCTGCAAATTCTTTGCTACTCCTCCCATTGAGAGATAGAGTCTCCTTCTCCTCTCCTTGAATCTGGGCCTTAATGACTTCCATGGCCAATAAGATGTGGTAACATCTGGTCCTTCTAAGGACCATAATGCTATGGTGCTTTTAAGGCTCAATCCTAAGAAGCATTGCAGCTTCCATCCTGTCCTCTTGAAACACTTTCAAAACACTTCTCCTCAAAATGCCCTATCTTGGAATCCAGCCACTGTGCTATGAGAGGTCCAGGTCCAAGCCACTGGCAGAGGACACACATAAATCCAGTGGAACTTCCAGAATCAACTATCGGTGAAGTGAATGAATCATTTTGGACTTTCAGCCTAGTTAAATACGTTGATTTTCATGAAGGCAAGAAAAATACAGAATAGCACAATATGGTTCCCCAAACTGGAATATATAACAACTGCTGGAATTATAGGTTTTTAAGGCAACATATATAAACTTATGGAGAAAGAAATGTTTCATTATATGTGTTTGTCCACGCAATGAAGAATTAAACCTTTATGGGTCAACCATGGCTCTTAAAAAAAAAAAAAAAGTAAACCTTTATGGGTCAACTTCAAACTTTTCCACAAACTTTATGATTTGTATTAGTTCCTAAGGTCAATGCTAATTAATTGAAACTCTACCAAGAACTATTAAGGAAAGGTCAATAGAAAAGGAATGACTCATGTTATTTTCCTAGATTAAAATGCCCTTCTCAGCTGGGTGTGATGGCACGTACCTATAATTTCAGCTACTAGGGAAGCTGAGGCAGGAGGACTGCTTGAGCCCAGGAATTTGAGTCCAGCCTAGGCAACACAGTGAAATCCTACCTCTTAAAAAAAGTAAAAAATCCATTCTGTTCCCATTCATTTTTTAGTAAACTTCTATTCACCTTTAAGATTCAGTATGATAACACCTTCTCTAATCCACATCCATTCGAGCAAAATTCTCTGCATCCTCCTCAGTATTCCTTGTAGCACTTACTTCATATTTCTATTATAACAGCCCATAAGATAAGGTCAAACAAGTTAGTCATATATATGTCTATATTACTAGATTACTCACTCCTTGAGGAAGGTAATCATATATTATTTATTTTTATATCTTTAGTTTTTAGAAAGGTTCCCAAAACTGAATGTTCCCAATGTGTTTAAAAAATAAATTTAAAAAGTAATTTTATCTTCAAAAATTTTAAGTGACATAGAATTTTTATCTATTTCATATCCGAGAATCTCTGTATTATCCAAAGCTACTTAAAGAAACTTGAGCTCAATACAAATTAAGGAAATTCATCATGAGTTATTATTGAAGGTTGGTGACAAAATTACTAAATGGATACAATTTTTTAAAAAATACTATTTAATACAATGCTTATTAAAGGAAACTATTATGAGACCAAATAATCATCTCTACTTTATCTTTTGCAGCATTTCCTATTTCTGACCATCAAGTATGTTTATATTAACAGATATATTATTTTTATGAAGAGATTAACATCATCTGAGGATCTAATCGCCCCAAAGAATTTCATCTCTTCTCAAAAGTGTCTCGTTTTCCTTCACACAGCAGATAGCACATATAACCCATTGTGTAGTAAGGTACCTATAACAAGTGTTATTGAGTAATTCATGGTGAGTAAAGAGGGTAAAAAGTAGACTGTTACCAAATACCCACCTCTACTTCACTCCTAGAAATTTCCAAACTTGTTGACCGAGGTTCAGGTTCAAGTCTGCCAAGATCTGTTGAACTAATACATCTGGGCTTGATATCCATGGTTTGTTTTTCCTAAAATAAGGAAATATTAAAGCAACAAGCCATTATAACCTAAAAATATATTAAAACACTTCACATGAAGAATATAAAACTAAGATTTATATGGACTAAACAGTAGAAATAATTCAAGACTTCTTCAATGACCACGTAACCCTCCCACCTCTCTTTCATCCTCAGAGACTCAGGAAAGCCTGGGCAACTTTCCATCATCCGCCAAGTCTGATCAAAGGAGAGATGAGAAAGCCCACTTTCTATTTTCAAAGTGTTTTATACACATGCTCTCATTTCACTTTCATTTCAACTCTCTAGTTAGATTTGGCAAAAATCATTATTCCTATTTTGCAGATAAGGAAATAGAGATCTACATGTTAAACAACACAGCCAAGGTCTGTATTGAGCTGGAATTTGAATCCCAACAACTGCTTTTGATAACGCAATTTTGAAACACTAGAGGCTTCTTGGGAATGCAACTATAGCATTAGAGTAGAAAAGTCAATAATGAAAACTAAATCTTTTCTTGCAGCACACTCTTCAACCCATTTCCTCAGTCATAAGGTAGATTCTATTCCTAAATCCTACTTAAGTGATTTATGAAGAAATATCAGATTACATTTTTAAACTTGATAAATTCCAACGTAAACCTCCTCGTCATAGCCATCAAAATCAAGTCATATGTACCTCTTATGTAACCTACAGATTGTTTCCAAATAAGACTATTGAATTCATAAAAGGGAAGGCAACTAGCATATACTGACTTCCACTGGAGTAAAAACTGTGCTACTTGTTTTACAATGCTCTTCATTAATTTCACAACTGTTGGGAAAACATTTTAAAATTCAGAAATGTTAAGTAATTTTCCCCAAAGGTTCCAAAACCACAGTGACAGCAGTTGATACACAGTTCTGACTTTCTAATCTGTGTTATTAAACAACACGATACTACCTACCTCTTTAAGTAGGCAATCTCTCTTAGAATCATGAAGTCTTTTGATGTGACACACTCTCTCTCACACATACACACGCACACACGCACACACATTTTCCCTATTGTCTGAAGGCTTCAGGGAAGCTGATTTTTAAGCGTAGATCATTTATTCCGGAAAGACTAGCTTCAGATGTACCCAGATTCAATTTATTGGGAAGTAGCTATCTGTGAAAGGCAATCCTCTTTTTATTCAGGGTTCCCAATCTCAATGTGCTATTACAAAAGTAATATTTATTGACTGCTAAATAAATGACTCATAATGTGTCCCCACTATAGTGCTCACTTTCAAAATAATTTGTATCTTTACACAATAAACTTAAGGGTCTTCCCAAGTACTTAAATATTATAAAGATTTCATGTGGAATCACATTTCTACATTTTAAAGGTAGATTAGGGACTAAATCATAAACTGTTGATTTTCTAGTTACTCTACCTGGGAGATATAAACAAAATATTGAAGAAAGTTCTACATCTCAGTCACTGACAAGTCAATCACAATGATAAATTCTGAAAATTCAAAACTCATGAGAAATACCCAAATTTTTCAAACTCTGATTCCTCTCTGGTCTACTGAGACTTACTTTTTTAAGAGTTAATGAATTAAATAATTTTGAAAAATTCCTATGTTCAATAAAAACAGCACAGAAAGAATGAGATTCTACTGACTGTTTTAGAAGCCTCCGATGTGATCTTTTTTAACCGTTCAATTTCAGTATCTTTCTGTGTGTTACTGGAGATCAATGCTTTCAGCTGTATTTCTAAAGCCGCAACCAGCTGATCCCGTTCTTCTCGCCACTTTTTAAGGTCACTATCTTTCTTTGCTAGCTGTTCTTTTAGTATTTCCTAACCACGAAATAAAGAAAAATTAAACTTTCAAACAATATGAATCTAAAAATGTTTAGAAATTATTATTATACATAACACCATGAATACAACTGTAAACAAGACATACAACAAATTACATCAAGTCTAGATAAAATATCTATTTATAAAATACATAATACCATTTTATACATTAAATGTTCATATGCTATATATATCCCTATCCCACCTCATTCCAAAAATGAGCTTATTAGTAACTTCTTTCAATAAACAATTATAGCTATTGCTTTTAAACTAATACCAGCATTTCTCCCACTATTGGGGAAATGAGAGGATAAAATTACAATAAAACAAATGACAAAGCTAATAGCAACAAAAAATAGGAAAAATGAAAATAAAAATATACCATTTACCATGGGTTAAAAAACATGAAATATTTAGTGGAATATTAAAGAAAATATGTGCAAAACCTAAACATAAAAAACTACAAAACGCTGCTGAGAGAGATTAAATAAACACCTAAATATTAAATAAATGAAGAGATAATTTGTGTTCAGGGATCAAAAGACTCAATATCGTTAAGATGTCAATTCTCCCCCAAATAGATGTATAGAATAAAGACAATTTCAATCAAAATCCAGGTGCTTGTGCATGTGTAAAGAAATGGAAAAGCTGACTCCAAAAGTTATATGGAAATATAAATGCTCTAGAATAGCCCAAACTATCCTAAAAATGAAGAACAAAGTGGACGCAATCAATTAGGTCATTTCAAGCTACTACAATAATCAAGACAGTGTGATAATGGTGTAAGGATAGAGAAATCAGTGGAACAGAAGAGAGGATCCACAAATGTATGGACTACTGACATTTTACAAGTGCCAAATTCAATGAGGGAAAGGACAGTCTTTTCAACAAATGCTGCTGCAACAACTAAATAACCAAATGAAAAACAATGAACCTCAACCCTAATCTTACACCACATACTAAAATTAACCCTTGCACAAATGATTTATGGAAAAAGTAGCAGAGCAGTGGGGACAAAATAGTCATTTCAAAAAATACTACCAGGTCAATTGGTAATCCACATTGAAACAAACAAAAAGAGCCTTAACCCATATCTCACACCAGCACAAAAAATTAATTCTAAGATCTAAATAGAAAAGTTAAAACCTTAACACTTTCAGGAAATAATATAATAAAACATCTTCAGGTCCTTGGGGTTCATATAAGAAAAGATTGGGAAAATTAACTACAATAAATTTCAGAACTTTTATTCATAAAAAGGCAGTAAGTGTAAAAAAGCCAACTAGAGATTGAAAGAAGGTACTTGCAATACATTACAAAGGACTCCAATCCAGAAAAGTATAAAGAACTCCTACAAATAAATAAGAAAAAGTTAGACAATCCAACAGAAAAACAGGCAAGGGGACCTGGATAGGCACAGCCAATGAACAAATGAAGCAATCTTCAATCTCATTAGTAATCAGGGAAAAGCACATTAAAACCATAAAAAGTGACTGACAATAACATATGTTGGTGGGAATATATAGAGACTCTAATACTATAATAGCTGAAGTGCAAATGGGTACAGCCACTTTGAAAATCACATCAGCATTCTACTAGAGTTTCACGTATACATACCTTACTATCTAGCAATTCTATTCTTGGATATTATGCAACAGAAATATATGTACATGTGTATAAAGAGCAATGTATAAAAAATGTTTATAAAATTTACCCATTAACAGCCAAAAACAGGAAACCACCCACATATCTTCAACATTAAAATGGACAGTGTTATATTCATACACTGAAATACTCGGCAATGAAAACTGACTAACTCCAGGTACATGCAACAACATGGATGATTCTCACGTATAATACTGAGTGAAAGAAGTCAGGCACAAACATATACATATGTTTCCATTTATATAAAATTAAAAAATGGACAAAACTAAAGTATAACATTGAAAGACGGAATAATTATTACCATTGGGAAAGCGGCAGAAGAGAGGGCTTCTGGGGTGTTGGCAAAGCTCTATTTCTTGAAATGCGTATTAGTTAAGTGGGTGTTGGTTTTACAATAAATAACTCACTAAACTATATGTTTTATTTTTCGTGTTATATGTTGCAATTTAAAAAGCTTTAAAAATCGAAAATTTGTTTCTTAAATATAGCAGACACAAACACAACCTAGGTATGATTATAAAAAAACATGAGAGAAAGAAGCAAGCTAGCTTTCCCTGGGATTAAAAACTCAAAGTGGGTTTACTTCCTGGCATTGTTGCCAGAGAGGCCACTAACTAGGAAGAGAAAGTAGCCCTCTTCCTGGTTTGGAACTGAAGCAACGGTGATAGCCTTTACCTCTTGCCTCTTTCTATTGGCCAGGAAGGTTTGATGGGCTATGGGACAGGAACAGAAAGCCAGCAGCAACCTTTCCTGTTAAGACAGATGCATCGTCTGAACTCTGTTCAACCCAACACTTCCTGGAAGTACCTCCAATCACATGGAGTTAGCACATACAATGAAACATACTACTGTCACATAGCTGTGGTAATGACAAGTATCTCACAGGATTTGGCATATGACCGAAATAAAAAAGAGTCAAGACTCTAGGGAAACATGACAACTAAATGTATTAATAGTGCCCACGAATAGATTCTGGACCCAAAAGATGACATTAGTGGGGAAATGGGTGAAATTCTAATAAGGTCCAAAATTTAGCTAATAGTCTTATGACAACATTTAATTGGTTCTGATCATTGCACTATTGTTGCATAAGATGCTAACGTCAGAAGTTGGGTGACAGATATACAGGAGTTCTCTGTACTAGTTTTGTAACTTTTCTGTAAATAAAATGACTTTAAAATAAGAAGGTAAACTCTTTTTTAATGGGAGCAAAGGAAGTTTATTTACGCCAAGTAACGCAAAGGCAGAGCACTTAGTAATAGTAGATCCTCCTCCTCGAGAAAGGACAGTTACTTCAACCAAGGGCTTTCCCTGAAATGTGGCTTCCGCTTTTCCAAGACTACAAATAGTGCACAATTAAACGCCACCTGTCCATAGATACAACATTGAGGGGCTTTAGGGGTACTGCCCAGCTGTTCTTTTCTAGCTATGTCCACCTGCCCAGGGACATGGCCAGTGTACTGCTCTGTGCTGACTTCCACTTCAGTCAAGCATCAAAACAAAAACATCTACAAAGGCAATAGATGCTCCTCAGTATCTTATACAATTGAGGGTAACTGAACATTGTTTTTCTGCAGAATGGAGTGTCTAAATTATCTGGCAGGAAAAAAATTAGTATGTTAAAGGAAAAGAGCATGATGTCTGGAGTAGAATATATGCATGGCCTGGAGTTTAGTAAGTAAACTGGAAAGTTTAGCCCACAAAAGACTCATTTTAATAAAAATCAGCCAACTTTATCCAATATTCAATGTTGAAAGAAGCTTTAAAGCTGGGGGGAAAAACAGTGGGAAAACAATCCTTAACTTACTGAAAATCAACTTTCTAGTTTATAGGAAAATTTAAGTTATCAAATTCCATCATAAAAAAAGGCAATGCCAACAGATGACAATATGATATTGCCAGGTTACTATTATTGTAAATAGAGAACTGGTTTTTCATTTAAAAACAATGTTTATTTGTTGCTCAGTCATTTTCCTAGGATGAATGATGACTTTTAACCTCTTTTTTCTGATGGAGAACATTGCATGTCAAACAGACTAAGTGTCAATTAAATAGGAGGAAAAGGCTGAGTGTGGTGTCTCACACCCGTAATCCCAGCACTCTGGGAGGCCAGAGGAGAGGATTGTTTGAGGCCAAGAGTTCAAGACCAGCCTGGGTAATGGCCCCCACAAAAAGTAAAAAAATTAGCCAGGCGTGGTGGTGCACACCTGAAGTCCCAGCTACTCAGAAGGCTGAGGCAGAAGGATTGCTTAAGCCCATGAGTTTGAGGATGCATTGAGCTATGATGATACCACTGCACTATAGCTTGGGCAATAGAGCGAGACTCTGTCTCAAAAATAAATAAAATAAAACAGAAAGGAAAAAAACAGGCTAAGGTAGAATCATTATAAGAGCTACAGTACAGCTAGTCAATGTAAAACGGAACATCATTTTTACTATATAGGTAAAGTCTTCTAGAAACTATTTAGTTGACTCTAATGAAAAGCCCAATAAAATTGGCTTATGAGGTAAAATGCATACATCATGTTAAAATCTACAGTTCAAAATGCAAAAAGTTCTAAAATAAAAGGAAAAACTCCTCTGCAGCAGTCAAAAGGAAGAGATTTTTAACTTTAGTATCTAGATAGTGAGTCAAGTAGGTGTTTTCCAAACATGCTAAATGGACTGAAAGAAGTTAAAACAAGAACATAAATGAATATCAAGATAAATTTAAATTAAAACAGAAAAGTTAGCATACAAATAGACAACCTGCCTTTAAAAAACAAAACAGGCAACCATATAGACTGATAAAGATCCCAGAAATAAATTTAACAAACTAAGAAAAGCAGGTGAAATATATCAAAGATATAATTGTTACCACTTCATTCTGTTGCTTTAAACAACGCTCCCTATCTTCAGCATATTTTTTCATCTCTTTGTTTCGTAGATTTTCTGCTTCTTTTGCTTGAGTGATAAGCATCATTTTTTCTTCTAACCATTTCTTTTTATCAGATTTATATTTCTGTTCAGACTCCTATATGTATAAATGGTACAAGTTGTTATTACATGCCTAAGAAGTTGCCAATAAACCTATTATTATTACAACATTTTGATACAGTCCACCACTTTTCACCTTTTTAAAAACTTTAAAATATTCTCAGGCAAGAAGTGATTTGGAAAAAAAAAAGAAGAAGAAAAAAAGATAAAAACTTTAAAATAAGTGTTTTTCTTTAAAATAATGACAAGATCAGAGTTTATTTCAGATTATAAAAAGAAACATTAGCTGGTTTGCTTTCGTAAATAGTATTTCCTATATAAACTTTATTTTGCCATAAATCACGTTTAAGTACTTTTATTAGTGAGCTTAAGAAGAAATACACAACTTAAATTTCTGAAAGAGTTAAAGTGTCTCAAGTCTTCCTAAATGCCGGGAAGAAAAAAAAAAAAAAAAGACTTGGTTTGAGGCGGTCATTTCTAACTGTATGGTTCTAAAATAAAATATTATTTATCTGGCTGCAAAAGATGCCAGATAAAGAATAACTTGTGCAACAGGACAAACATTTATTAAAGGAACATTCAGAACAGCTAGACACAGAATATAGTTGACTGGTAATTTTCAAACTGGTTCTATAGATCCTTTGGGTTCAGAAGCTTCTAATTTTATATATTCAAAATCCAAGTAAAACTTCACTTGAAACAAAAACAGTAATACCACTTTAAAAACTTCTAAAACCACTGTACTAGATAAACTATGGCAGTCCATTTCAGGATTACAAAGTTTGTAACCTAAGACAATGTGATTACATCCCCATAGAACAATGTACAATACACCAAGACTTCTTAATATGAACATTCTCAATACAGTTGACATATTGTTTTTCATAATTAATGGAATATTCTAGGTGATTTTAAATTTTCACAATGGAAAGGGTAAATTCTAGAATATATAATTATTACAAAGAAAATATTTTGTAATTGTTTTCAGTATCTGATTATATACAGCCTGAATTTAGGAAAATAATTTAGATGCAGCCAACTTTCCAAAACCATTATTATGTTTCCTTCAATCCCAAAACCACAATTATGAATGCCACTTCTAATAAAATGTACAAAATTTTAAATAGTACTTGGAAATCCCATGAAAAAACTAATCTATCATATGTTGTGTTCTACACATAGTATGTTGAAGTTAAACAAGGAAAAAAAAATACAAAGGCAAAATAGAATATATTCTATATAGTATACTTTCATATGTATTCCAGTATTCATATATATAATTCTATTCCAATTTAATAATTTAACTTTGAAGACATTATTTAGAGTAATCAAAATAATTCTCCTGATGATCATCTTCTCCACAGCAGTATTTGATCAGTAAAAAGGCTAAGGAGCAGAAAAATGGGTACAAAGACACTGGAAGTGGGGACTTAAGAATTAAATCTGTAAAATATAATATTGAGGACCCAATCGCTGTATTTTCATTGGTACTAGTTTGTAAATTCCTCACCATGTTATTTTGATGTGCGCTGAAAATTTTTATCTATCTATTAACATTTCTCAGGTATTATTTCACTCATATCTAAATTATTTACAAAAAATAAAATACCAAATTCTCCTCTCATTAGAACTATAATGAAGATATGGATGGATGAATAGATAACATACGTACATAGAAACACAGATAGATATATAGATAAAATCATACCTGCAACTCCTCTTGAAGATTACTGAGCTTTTTACTAAGTATGTCAGTGTTGTCCTCAAGTTCTTTATTTGACCTTTGATCACTTTTAGTTTCCAGATCTTTACATTTTTCCTTCCATTTTTCCAATTCTGATTTGAAGACACAAAATTATTTTTTAAAAGCACATGCAAAAGTTAAACCAAGTAGAGATTTATGTGACAGGAGATACAGACACAAATCAGAAGAGCCCAGAAAAGAACACAGACCGAGATGGAACCAGAGGATTCCACAGCTGAACTTTTAAGAGTTCTTACCAAATTGTTAGTGAAGAGCAACTACACAGATCTCTCAAGAACCTAATGAATCATGTCTAAAGTATATAGTATAAATTCATATAAACCTTATTAATTATATAAGAAACTTAATACAATTCTCAGAAAAGAGCTGTAACATGTCCATGAAAGTGGCTAGAAAAGTATGTACTCATCATCATTATCATCAACACAATTTCACTCACCAAAATATAGTTTTAGGGTTTACACAACACTCTTATATTTATCATCTCATCTGATCTTCCTAACAATAACATTATACATGGCATTATTATCATTAACCCCATGTTACAGATGAGAAAAATTAGACTGAGTCAGCACAAGTATCCCACCAAGGTTATATTATATCTTATATGTTTATCTTAATAAATACTCTAATTTCATTGCCTTCAGAATGCTATAAAGAGTTTTTCTACTGTATGTGGAAAAATATAATACTTATTTACTAATAATAAAGCTATGTGTGATTCTTGTAGAAAGGGCAAGAAATTTTGCATTAAGAAATTACCTATGCCATTTTATATATAATACAAGATAAGGCTAAAAGCTTGACAGAGGTGAAACTCAGTTGAAAGCTTATTCTTAACATCTTTGGAACACTGCAAGTTATCACCCATAACCTGCAATTTATAATTTGTAAGTTATATTGGAGTGTCCTTATTCCTTCTTTACTGCATGTGATTTTACTTTGATAAAAGTTTTCATCACAGTGGAAAAAGACAAGTGATAAGACATTAAAAAAACACACCAAATGCTTTTCTATTATGAATTATTATAAATACTATACTACTTTAAAAAGGGAAGAAATCTAGGAAAATAAGGAAAATCAAAAAGTATGTTTTGAGAAATGTAACTAAACTTGTTTTACCTGTGGCCAGTCTTTCAATTTCCTCTAATTTAGCCTCGAGCATTTGATCTTGTTCCACCTGAGTTTGTTCTTGTTCTTCCAGTGTCATTCGCATGCCTTCAATTATTTTCTCTTTAACACTTAGATCTAAAAATTTGAGGATAACATTTTAAAAATTAGTAACACCTAGATATCCAATTTTTCTTAAGTTCTTATAAAATTAAAATACATTTTTATTAACTATAATAGAATATGAGCTCCACATAGGGAGAAACTTTGTCTTGTTGACTGCTACTAATATATGCTCAATGCCAAGAACAGTACTGGTACATATGAAGCATTAAATATAGATTTGGGGACAGGCGTGGTAGCTCATGCCTATAATCCTAGCACTCTGGGAGGCTGAGGTGGGAGGATTGCTTGAGGTCAGGAGTTGGAGACCAGCCTGAGCAAGAGCGAGACCCCATCTCTATAAAGAATAGAAAAATTAGCCAGGGGTGGTGGTGTGCACGTGTAGTCCCAGCTACTTGGAAGGCTGAGACAGGAGGATCACTTGAGCCCAGGAGTTTGAGGTTGCAGTGAGCTATGATCACGACACTACACTCTAGCCTGGATGACAGAGCAACTTGTCTCAAAAAAATATGTGGATATAGATAATAGATTTGGTGTGCAAATGGATGCTTGATGATTGCAAAAATAAATGAGTGAATGGAAAAGGAATCTTTTCAGATAAAATTAACAATTCTGATATAATTAAACTATTACTACTAATTAACACAAATCTTAGGATTTAGAAAAATGTTATTTGGCAAAACACTTATTTTCACTATTAATATTTTCAAACCAAAACTAAAACCTTTACCTCCTAAACCTAAAAAAAGGCTCAATTCCAATTTGAACTTTTTTTTTTAAATCTCAAGTAATTACTTTTTCTTGAAAAAATATTCAAAGTCAGATATTTATTTGTAGTTTTTTTTTTTTTGTTGTTGTTGTTGAAACAGAGTTTCGCTTTTGTTGCCCGGGCTAGAGTGAGTGCCGTGGCGTCAGCCTAGCTCACAGCAACCTCAAACTCCTGGGCTCAAGTGATCCTACTGCCTCAGCCTCCCGAGTAGCTGGGACTACAGGCATGCGCCACCATGCCCGGCTAATTTTTTCTATATATTTTTAGTTGTCCGATTAATTTCTTTCTATTTTTAGTAGAGACGGGGTCTCGCTCTTGCTCAGGCTGGTCTCAAACTCCTGACCTTGAGTGATCCACTTGCCTCGGCCTCCCAGAGTGCTAGGATTACAGGAATGAGCCACCACACCCGGCCTATTTCTAGTGTTTTTAAAACCAGCTCCTGAGGAATGACTATTGGAAGGCTACTGCTACTAGCCTTATCAAAATTGTTCCTGGCTCTTCAAGAATTGCTACAATAATGACTTGTAAGCAACTCTATTTTATCCCTGTCTGCAAGGAACAGATAAAGAGGAAAGATTAGTTTGTTACCTCTGGTGACTGCACTTAGTAGCAAGGCTCATTTCAGAGAACTACTACCAAAACTATTAACTGATGTCAGAGGTGATACAGCTATAAATGCATAGCTCAACCCCAAGGCTGCTTTTAATGACACAAATACCAAAAGATGGTTCCCTCAAAGTACATATAAAGCAAGCTTAAAACAACAAAACAATAACAAAAATTTGTATTACCAGTTTTTAGTATTTCCATCCATTGATGTAAGCTGCAAGGAATGCTAGTAAAATAGAATTCCTCCTAGAATTAAACTGATCTCTTGGTATTATCATATAAACCTTTTCTTTCAAAAGTATGATTTGCAAGTATATGCAGATTGTACAAGTAACTATAATTTTATTCAAAGAATTTCCTCCCTCTTACACTATATTTTGATTTGAAACTTAGGGCTAGAAAGAAAGAATTTACATATCTAGTTGCCAATAAAGACAGTTCCAGGACATCAAGGACAACATCACTAATGGCTATTCACCTATTATTTGAAAAGCAGCAAACTAGAGTAGTAAAGGAAAAGAGAATTATTTTATCAGTCAATATAGCACAGAACTCCTGGGCTCAAGTGATCCTCCCACCTCAGCCTCCCAAGTAGCTGGGACTACATGCATGCGTCATAGCACCTAGAGAGAATTTTTTTGTTTGTAGGGGAATGTCTCACACGTAACTAAAATCATAGGAGTGAATGAACTCTCAAGGAAGAAAATAAAGAGAAAAAAGAAGATGCCTTAATCAGGAAAGTTGCCAGAGAGGCTGAGACTCATTCTGAAAGAAAGAAGTTATTAATAACTAGTACTAGCAGATCACAAAAGCTGAGGCAAGAGAATTTCAAAAGAGGGGAGAAGCTACATATTACTTTTGTGTTTAGAAAAAAATACATTTACACATAATAAATATTACTTTTAAAAAATGAGGAAAAGACGCCTGAATCCTAGCACTCTACGCCTGTAATCCTAGCACTCTGGGAGGCCGAGGCGGGCAGATTGTTTGAGCTCAGGAGTTCGAAACCAGCCTGAGCAAGAGCAAGACCCCATTTCTACTAAAAATAGAAAGAAATTAAGCAGACAACTAAAAATATATAGAAAAAACTAGCCAGGCATGGTGGCGCATGTGTGTAGTCCCAGTTACTCGGGAGGCTGAGGCAGAAGGATTGCTTGAGCCCAGGAGTGTGAGGTTGCTGTGAGCTAGGCTGACGCCATGAAAAGAGTGAGACTCTGTCTCAAAAAAAAAAAAAAAAAAAAAATGAGGAAAAGGAGAGTAGACAATAAACATCAAAATAATATAAAAAGTAAAATAGGGATTGCAAAAAGCTAATAGATTTGAAAATATGTAGGTTACAAGTGACTTGGGAGCATGGAAAAGATGGAAGTCAGATTAAAGTAGTCACAGTGGTCTATGCCACACTTCTCCATATTTAGCAAAGAAAGGAAAAATTAAAATGTGATAAGAACTATAGGCTTCCTGGTCCAAGGGCGGACTTTTTCAGAATGACCAAGATCTCTCCACATTTGCCAACAATAACAAATGTGCCAACATAAGGGGGAATCCTAAAAGATTATGGGAATAGGAGATGTTAAAGTGACAAAGCTCTAAGCAAGGACGAAGAAAACAGGACTGCGTGCAGAGATATGTTTTCACATCCAAGTTATTAATCAAAGTGAACCCCACCAATGTATAATTCATCTAAATAAGTAATAATCTGGTAGTCTTACCCCTTTCTCTTGTTGGCCAAATACAAATAACATGGTTTAGTAAAGAAAGTCTGAGACTTAAGAGTGAAGCAGACCTAGGTTCAAATGCCAGCTCTATCACTCACTCAACTAAGAAGTTAAGGGGTTAGTGTGGGAGAGGAGAAGAGTTGGTATAATTTTAAGAACAGAAATATGTACATGTCATCAATAAAAGTATTTTATAATATTTCAAATGACAATCAATACAATTTCAGTAAGAAAAGTATAATTCAGCACCTCAAATTTGAATCTAAAGTATTAAGTGGTTTTAAAAAACTTTTTAAAAATAAATATTTTAATTCTAAAAATATTTTACTTACCTTTTTTATACAGTTTTGTCCAGAAATCCATTCTACTCATGTGACCTATATAACTTTGACTGATTTTATTTTTCAAACAATACTGACTATAACCAAGACATCAGTGTTGCTTTGACTAAATATTTCTTACTCTTTCATTTCTCTAAGAATAAATTTTAAGTTGATAAATTACTCATTAGAATCACTGCTTTTCTCTTTTGATAAAGTTATATCTTATGTTGCCCTTACTTCACTTTAAAATTTTCAAAGGAAAATGTTAACAAGTTGTTATTTGCAACTACCCATTTTGTAGTCATTTTAGTGCTGGAAGTAGAAATTTATTCCTGACCTTTGCACACTTTCTCATACTGGTGTATCGCTTCTTCCTCCACTCTCTGATTACTTAACTGCTCCTAAAAAATAAAAGAATATGAGTTAAATGCAAATATAACTTAAATACACAATATTTAACAGTGGATCTTGAAAACAGGGCTCAATATTAAGTTTGAAATCAATCTCCTAAAAGGCTATCAGTCTCAAGCTTCCAAGTTCACCTTGGAGAAAAGGTAGGGTAAGAGTGATAATAAGAAAAAAAAAATACTTTATACTTTTAATCTAAGTTATGACTCAGTTATCTTACTTACTCCACATTCTAGGTAAATGTTTTCTCATATACCACAAAAAGTAGAAACATGGGAAAACGGAGGTCTGCTATGTATTTTATATAGGAGAAACAAGGAAAACCATAAAAAAGTTGCCTATCAGTAAACTCCCTCAAAATGCAAAAAAAAGAGAGGCCTCCACCCCTCTACCTAGAAAGTAGTTGCAAGATTTGAAAAAAGCAAGGCAATTTAAGAGGCATGAGTAAATTATTTATAAGTTAATAATTATAAATAAATATTTAATAATTATTTAATTATCATTAAGTTGTAGGACTGGACATCCTACAATTCTAGTTTTAACCTGTCAGGTAATGCAAACTTCACTTCCAATCTTATCTAACTTCACCATTACTATCTCCTCACTTTATAAGTCTTAGCATGAATCATTATAGAACCTCTCTGAATTCCATTATTGTTGCCTTATCCATTTAGTTAATGTCAACATCTACAATAACGGGATTTTGCTTTTCGAGTGTCATTTTAAAAAAGAATTTGTTATAAGACCTAGACTACTTTTTTTATTCTTTATTTCAAAATAATTTTAGATTTACAAGAGCTGCAAATTTAGCTATATCATGTAAACTCGGCTCCTCTAATGTTGTTAACATATTATGATACATTACCATGATACATTTATCAAAAATCAAGAAATTAACATTGGTATAATACTATTAATTATATTATAAACTTCACCACCATTCACCGGTTTTTCCACTGCTATCTTTTTTGTGTTCTGGGATCCCCTCCAGGATATAACACTGCATTTAGTCATCATTTCTCCTTCGTCTCCTCCAACCTGTGATAGTTCCTCAGTCTTTCCTTGTCTTTAATGACCTTGACACTTTATGCTAGTCAGGTATTATGCAGAACATCCTCAGTTTGGGTTTATCTCATGTTTTCTCATGAACAGACTGAGGTTGTGGATTTGGGGGAAGAATACCACAGAGGGGATGAGATGTGCCCTTCTGGTCACATCAAATCAGGAAGTACATGGCATTAATATAACTAATTACTAGTGATGTTGTTCTTGAACACTTGGTTAAGGTGGTATCTACTAGGTTTCTCCACTGTAAAATTCTTATTTTTTCTTTTCCATACTCTTTGTTAGAAGCAAGTCAATAGTGACTTATTTATTTTTAGATTCCAGAAAAGGCCAAAACAGAATATGTTATTAAAAACTAATTTATTCATTTTATTAGGCACTAAAATATATCAACAGAATGCACTTAAGCCATCTTTAAAAACAAAACTGTACCTTGAGTTGCTGAATGGTTCGTTGTTTCATATCTATTTCCTGAGAACACTGGTTTTTCTTTTTCTCCAGTTCATTAATTTTAATCCTCAGTAATTTCTCCTCATCACGCATTACAGATATCTACAAAGTAATATTTATAAAACAAATTAAATTTTTTAAAAATACGAATTGCTTTTGTTTAAAATTCATGGCTACTTTTTTAAAGATTCATGTCCTTTAAAGTCCATTAGAAAAATTGTAGTTTCTAATATACTACCTGATACAGCTTCAAATTATCAGAAAATATCTTAATACTTTAATGGAGAATGCATATGAAGAGCTCATTTTCTTCTTACATTATTTTAAGAATCTCAAACTCCATAAGTCCTCTCAATAAAGAATCACCATAACACCTACATGTATTAGCAAAATAATTACCATGGAAAAAATTAAGAGATACTGTGAAGTAACTTTTCTCATCATTTTAAGAGAAAGAATGAAGTTGAATCCTAAACTTGATACAGAAGGAAAACAATCTTTATCATATTAAATTGGTCACACAACTTTTCAAATAACCTACCTCTTTCTGTACTTGCTCAATCTGCTTTTTGGCATCACTCAGTTTCTCTTTCAGCTCAGCATAATCTTCTTCCTTCCTATGAAGATCCACTTTCAGACTGTGGGTAAGAGCAGAGCTCGCAGAAAGCTCCTCTTTCAGTCTAAAAAACAAAAACCACTTTTCTATAGATAGTGATGCACCATTAACCACTTAGAATCATAGATGTGAACTAGTAACAATTTTTACAAAATTACATCTTTTCATAAATTTGGAATGTCCAAACTATAAATGAGTCCTTCAGAGAGGGTTTTGGGTCATTTTTATAAGCCAATCTCTTCATATAACTTATGGTTCCAAAGGTTTATATAAACAAAATTCAAGTTCTTCACTAATCATACATGCTACACTTTACCATGCTAAATTGTGACCATCTAATTGTTTAAAAGCTACATAGTAAAATGAATGCTTTGCATATTTCTAAACATTTTAAATAACATTTAGCTTACTTTTCCGTTTCTTGTCTGATGGTTTCTTTTTCTTCTTCCTTTAATTGAAGAGAATGCTTCACATCCTGCAAATTATTTGTTAATTGCGTGATTTCTTCTTTCAACTTGATTTCCTTTTCACTTAAATCTTTGGTGTTTTTGATAGAATCCTGAAGATTTGCTTGAAATTCCTTCAGATTTCTTTCTAGCTTTAAGATGATAGATTCCTTTTCCAAAATGTCTTGTTCTAACTTGGCTGAATGCCTACATTCATCTTTTTGAGTCTCTAAGATTGTTTCAAGTTCCTTTATTTTTGCCTTAGAGCAAGTAACAACTTGCGTAAGTTCTGAAAGTGCTCTCTTTCCTTCAACTACATGTTGTGCTTGAACATCAAGATTAAAGGTTTTTTCTTGCAATTTGTCTTTCAGCTGCTGTATAAGACTTTCTTTTTCTTTTAGTAGGTCACTCTGATTTTTATGCTCCCTCTCCTCTATTTTTAGTCTGTTGTTTTCATCCTTATATCCTTCTACTTCTGCCTGTAATTTTTCAATTTGTTGTTCCAGTTCCTGGATCTGATGACTTTTTTTAGAGGAGGCCTTCACAATCTCCTTACATTCTTCCCAAATAGCTTCAATACTAGAGTGGAAAGCACTTTCCCTATTGAATTCTTGAATACGACATTCTTTAACCTGCTTACTCACCAAGTAATCATTACCTAAAAGATGTAACTGTGTATTTAGCAAATTATCTTCCTGAAAAGCATTTGACAGATCCCTGAAATTGAGTAAATCTATGTTTGCGATCTGAGAAACTGAATCAAGTGTACGTAGTTCATCTATTTTTGTTTGCATTAATTTTATTTGTGAAACATTATTTGTAATACTTCTTGTAGCAGTTTCTATCTCTTTTGACAATTTCATGATCTTTTCCTCCTGTTCTTGATTTATACCTTTCTGCACATGTAATTCGGCAATTGCATTGTCATAATTTGACTGAATTTGTTGTACCTCTATACTTAAACTCTTTTTTTCAGAAAGACAAAGTTCCTGCTGCAACCCAACAATCTGTTTATTTAATTCTGCTTTTTCTTCCCTTTCATTTTTAAGTTCATTCTCAACAATGAGTAAAAGTGTTTTCAGCCCTTCATTATTTTCTTGTAAAACTCTGATGTCTTCGCTGTCTTCTGAAATGCTCTGTTGCATTTCTTCTCTTTTCTTTTCGTCTTCAGTGATAGTTGAACTAACATATATTGGTCCTTTAAAAATAAGAAAATTATTATTAATCTGGTAAACCTTTATAAAACCAAAAAATTACCATATAAGCCAATATTCAAACATACAAAACATATGAAAGTAAGCTTTTAATGAAAATCTGAAATAAACCATTGAGAGAAAAAGAAAAAACAGGCTGCAAAATATGTGGTATAAGCTCATTTATGTAAAAATCATGGTTCCTTAAGTTAATGCAGACAGAGAGTTAGCAAAGGAAGTATGCCAAAATGATGGTAGCTATCTCTGAGTAGGATTATCAGTTATTTCTACTTGCTTTTTTTTTTTTTTATGCTATTGCACACTTAATAGACTACAGTGTAGTGTATACATAACTTTTATATGCACTGGGAAGCCACAGAATTTGTGTGACACTCTTTATCGTGTGGTCTGGAACCGAACCTGGAATAATCTCCGAGTTATGTCCCTATCTGCTTTCCATAAGAATCATGTATCCCAGAAAGTCCTAAGAGACAGGGAATCTGAAGAGAAGAAAAGTTCTAGTTCAGCTCATGTGCATTAATTGATGTGTAAAATTTTTGCTTGCGTCATATTCATTTAAGGTATGTACTTTAATGGATTTATTTGGAGACCCAGGCATATCTATAGCCTATTTTGGTGCTTTGGCCTATCTTGATAGATTGTGAGATGTTTAGCCACAGGCAAGGATATCAAAGACGGGATTTAAAAATCCAGTGGTTCGTAGAACTGGAGATGATCTGTAATAATAGCCTGTCTGCTTCTCATATTCCCTGATTTTCATTATTTATAGACATACGAAGTTTCCAGGGTTTCTGTGTTCTTCCCAGTCCTCATTATGGAACTCCTGATGCTACTCTAATTGAGTTATTGTGAAAGATGTTAGTGATTTTTGAGGATCTGTTTTTTTACTAGGGAAGTATGAAGATGAAAAAATTTGGCCCAGATAATCTCTGTTGACACTTATTAAAAATACAAAAACATTAAGCAAGATGTAAAATGGTAAGTGAAGAGTTCTTAGCCTGTTTCTTTAAAGACAACTACTGCTTTGTATTTTGTTCAAGAAAAAAATGTTTTACAAATGTTCTTTTTAACAGCAATAATATAATCAAAACCAGATGTCTGCTAAGTAAAATCATGCAATTCAATCTCTTTCCTCCTAACACCTTTACTGATATCAGGAAGTTTTGATTGTGGTAGGTGCCTCTACTTGCTTTTTATAACTTTCAGTATTATTTAAACTTTATACCACAAACCTTTATTATCATTATAACATGGGACAGAACAGAGGAGATAACAGTGAGATACCCTAGGCAGATATCCCATATCCTAAAGAACAGTTTTAAAGTACAATTATATTATGGATTCTACTATATTAATGATTGATAAACTGAGTACTTTAAATTTTCATAGCTAATATTAGGGAAAAAATGGTTGAAATTCTGAGAAGTCATATAATATAGCCCTAACCTTCACTAGCTGTATAACCATTAATAAACTACTTAATATTAATACTATGACTATTTCTTCAAATGTTGAAATGGAAATAGTAATAATATGACCTTCTATCTCAGAGTTGTTGTAAAGATCAAAACAACAAATGAGCTTAGAACACTGTGCTTTGGATATAGTTTGCTATAAATAGGACCTGAAAATCTGTACAGGACGGTCCAGCTAATTAAAAGGTACAAAAGTTGACTTTTTTTCAGGCTCAATATCAACATTCCTAGAATAAGGATATCTCTACCTACCTTGCTCTATAGAACAGTGTTAAAAGGCTAAAAAGAGTTAATATATAATGTATGTTAAACCATTCTGTAAATGTTATACACATATAAGAACTTTAACAATTATAGTTGATATAGATTAAATTATGCCCAGAGTATAAGCAGTATTAGCTAAAATTTAATTCTTAATGTTCACTTTGACAAATAAACTCACCCCACACAAGTACCCAGTATAAATTATATTCTATCATTAAATCTTAAAACATAATTCTCGATCCTCTAGATACACAATTTTATACCCACATATCTTTTTATGTTTTCATACAATTTCCACTGAGGGCCAGATGATTATCGCAGATCCTAGAACAATAGTTCAAAACAGCAGGAATCTGACTCTTCTGTTTTTTTTTTTTTTAAATTTCTTCCTATTCTGTTACACTTCATGGTTTGATGTTTGTACATGGACTTTACAACATTGCTCTGATACAATTTATATGTGAATTTTCAACATGACATTGCTCTGATACAATCAATTCCATATGTCCTTTTGCCCTTCATTTACTCCCTCACTGACCATTTATCTTTTGAATTCACCTGTTTTTATTTGGTATCCTCACTAAATATGTGAGAATCAAATTCTTCATGCTTAAAGGTCCCAAATATAATATGAAGTACAAGTGGTACTAATCCTTAAGAGCAACAGACAGTTATAAGGGAGGTTTAGCCTAAAATCTTCCTCATTAACAAACCTATTACTTTCAGTTGGTATCTGGCCAGTGAATCTAAAAAGACTGTATTGTACAGTTTTCTTTTCAAGGAGCTCCCATATTATCCTATCCGTCTCAGCTATTTATATTTTATTGAAATATGTTTGCCTCTCTCATCTACTAGATTTTAAACTCCCTGATGGCAGACTCCTTGTGTTTGATTCATCTTAAACAATAAACCTAAATGAAATATTTTTGAAACTTAGCTATATCACATATGTTCTCCTTTTCTAAGACACAACACTGAACCAGAAAGCAAATAATTAATCTTTGTAAACATAATTTTTGCATAGTAACTTATTCTGGTTCTATATATGTGCAAATTCACGAATCTGACATATTCCAGTTATATTAACTTGGTTACTTTATTGTAACTTTATGTTTAAAATTTTAAGGTCCTCTCTTTAAACATTTATTTACAACAGCGATTTTCTAGTTCTAGTTCTATTGGGCAGAATTACCCAGGGAGCTTATTAAAATGCAGATTCCTGGGAACAAATACCAAAGATACTGACTTGGTAAGTCTATGGTGTATTTTACACGTAAAACTTTGAGAATTAGTGCTGTAGGCATTATTTTTGAAAATTTCTACAAGAAGACAGTCACCTTGATAATACATTTTGGATTTTAACATATCAGTTTGCTTCATTACAAAGCCCTTAAGTGGCAGCACTGCTACATGTAATTGTTTCATAAAAGCCAAATGTAAAACCTCATGTAGTTATGAGATTCAAACCTGTAAGTTTTAGCCTGCCCATGGAATGATAGTAGCCCGTGGGATACACATGTAATGAATCTGTTCAATAAAAAAGGCAGCATTTTTGAGATCATGAAAAGCTCCTTAAAATGAAATCTGCCATATTATACACAAATGACTTTCTATCTTCCTATATGCTAATCACAGTTGAAGCTGTAAGCAAAATAAAGGAAAATCATAACCATTTATGAAAGGTCTTTCAGATACTATTATACAATGTGGGGACAAAAAAAACCTTGATTGTTCTCCAGACTTTTTTAATCCTATGATCCGTTTTGATGAATGAAAATCCCAAGCAATCTCATGATACTGATTCGTCCCCAGTGAGAATATACTGCCCCTACCCAAGAATCACACTGTATAATGTGGGAATCGCAGCTCCCTACCCCATCCAGAATCTATATAGCTGTACTTTCAGTAGTAAAAAACAAGCTTTATTTTTAAGTTTTCATTTCTAAAATATAATCCATGTTCTTCTTCTTCACTCGTCTAAATGTTCTAGGCAGTTGTAATTATGTAATCTCATTATGGGATTCCAAAATCTCTTTTCTTTAATACAGACTAATTTCAAAAGCTCATTGGCCGGCTGGGCGCGGTGGCTCA